AGTAATATTTTTTTTGCTACATAAATAATGTTTATTTTCATTAATAATTAAATATATATATTATGTATTAATGAAAATAAACATTATTTATGTAGTGAAGAAAATGTTACGATTTCCTGAGAGATGCCTAAACAATCCAGCCTATTTCTAATATAAAACGCTCTTGAACCAGAGCTATCGGCGGCTCGGCCGCCAGCGGCCGGGCGGTAGTGGGGGGACAGAAGGCGTCGTCTCCAGAATCGGCCCGAAATGTGCAACTAATTCCGAGCGCTGGTTTATATCACCGATAGGTGATAGGCATACAAACGTCTTTATTACTGACACGTCGTAGAAATAGGAACGTCCCTATTATTGACACGTTGTAGAAATAGGTACATCTCTTTACTGATATATAATGAACATAAATGGACATAAAATTTTGACTTATTACCGATTTTGACATTAAGTATTTTTATTGAATATAAAAAGAAAAAAGTAATACAACGTTATTATATACATTTATACATACATTTATACAATATTTACATTGATATCTATCTATTGTTATTTTAATCACTTGCAGTTTTACTTTCAGTTTATCTTTTTATCATTTAAGATAAAGAATCACGAGTGTTTTAATACTCACACGTGATAATTAATAGATTGGGAACTTTACTGAGTATCACAAATTGGTACAGAATCATGAGTATCCCTATTATTGACTTAAACATGACAATTTATAGATTAGGAACTCGTATTTGTATTAATTTTCTAAATTCTGGAAGGATAAGTTACGATATTGATGCCATTCCTTAATTCAATAATGATTGATTTTTATAAATTACATGACTTCTTTAAAAATAAGAACGTTTTTATCGTTTTATATCATATTTGTTTCGATTGTCAGTAATAAAGACAAACAAATATTTTTAGTACCGATTAGTGACACATGCATTAACTAAAAAAATATGTATTTTGTGACGTTTTCAGTTTACTCACAATGTTTCTTAATATCTACTTAACTTTGGATGCTTATTTTTTATTTATTTTTAGCTTAATAATAGCTGGAATCAATCGACGAAGGGACCATCGATATAGTCGTTGCCTCATAAGATATCAGTAAGCAACTGTTCGATTTGCTACTATTGGCAGCATGCTTATAATCATAATATTTTAGCGTCTACAAAAGCGTTTAATTTTACTCAAAATTTATTGATAATATGTACAATTTTGAATACCAACACATTTTTTAGAAAAAACATTGATCAATATTAATTAATTTATTGAGAAAAAGAGACACGATTGTTACAAATTGGGATATTGTCACTAATTGGGACATTTACCTTATTCATGGAATCGATTTTCATTTAATATGCGCTGCACTGTGCTTTTTGATTAGCCACTCGCGCCATAATATTTTTTCTCTCTCTTCCTTTTTTTCCAATAATTCCTATCAATACATTATGATCCTCCATATGTGAGAACAATGTACTTAACTTTTCGTACACTTTATGTATCTTGATCTGAGATCGGTGTACAATTTAACTGTCTCATGTAGACTAATTAATTAATTTCTTTTAAAAAAATTAAAAATTTCGCACTAACATCCTGCGACGGCTCTTAATGCTCTTCTATTATATTGTATAATAATAAAGTCTTAGATTTCTTAATTAATATATCTCCTCAAATAATTTATTTTGATTATATATGTTTTATATATGTTTTCATTATATTATTTATTATCTTTCACAATTATTTCATTTATATGCATTACAAGTTGTTAATATAATTAATTTAATTTTAAGTTATGCAATGTTTAATTGTCTAAACAATAAACAATTTAGTAAAAATTTATTAGTAATAAATTTTAAATTATTTTTTACTTTTGCCACGATTTTTATTCTTGTATGAGTAACGAGTTTCGACTAAAAATGTTATAAGTTATAAACGTAAAAAAGATTCACAGTTTTTTATTGGTTTTCTTTTACTTCCCTTCCTTTTCATATACATATATTTGTATAGTTTCCTGTACGACTACATGTTTATATGTTTGTTTTAAATGCATTTTTCTCGCTTATTTTTGAGAGTTTCGTCGTTTAGCGCTTTACCACGATTTAGTGGGAGGGTAGTACTACATTATATAAAAAATTCAGCAAAATCAGTGATTTCTATGTTTGATGATCCTCTTGTAAGTCCCTAGTTAGGCCCAATAAAGTACAGGTGGATTTTTAAAATGAAGCCCATCAATTTCTTATTGCTGATCCAGATTTTACGTCTTCAATTCAAATAGTTTTGTGTTTTTAAAAGATTAATTAGATTTTGGTTCTTAATTATTAGTAGAATCATAACGCGAGTCAATCGTTACAATTTTATATCAAAGTTTACTTATGTATTTATTATATCTTTTTTTTACGCAACTTACATGAGATTAATATTGTACACATCAAAACACATCAAAATTGACATTTAACATTTGTCAACATTGATTATTGGTACATTTTCTTGTTGATATCAGTAAGCACATTGAATAGATTGTACTTTATAACAATTTTGCACTTTCTTTTTTGAGATATTGGTAAAATGCCAGACGGTAATTACCACAACATTCCCCAAGCACAAGAATAATATCGACAATTCCATTTGGTATGTAATCTGACATTTTACCAATACAGTACTTAGAAGTACTGTTCGGCATTTCGAACGCCGTATTCACCGCCGTACTAATTTTATCATTTTATGTCGTCCTCAAAACCAAACAATTGTTGTTCAAAACATTTTTTTTCTAAAACGCGTCGTTTTTTTTATATATTTAAACATATTTTTTAAAATGGTACACCCTATAAGTTTGTCTTTTTTAATCACTTAATTGTATTCATCAAATTTATTATTACAAATACTTTTATAACAAAATTTGATTGATTATTTATAATAATTTTAATTTTTATATTTATTGTGATTAGTGTTTACCAAATAAAAGTTTATAAAATCAATTTAGAACAAATAAACACATCAAAATAAAGTGAGATATAAACGTGATTAAAAATCGCTTAACGCGCATGCACAAAAAAAACTCCGATACTTTGGTGCAATCATCCTAAATGCACTATAATTACTCAAGTTGCAAATATATGATAATTTAAATATTATAATTAAAATACTAAACTTGAAGTTTTTACTACTGTTAAAAAGATGAATAGCGTAACTCAAAGTGTATAATATGACTCTAACAGTAACCATTATAGCTTAGCGAATATATAAAACAAAAACGAACTTTACACTCTGAATGTATTTATGCATTTGTTTTAGGAGCCGCTGAACAGGCTCACACTCAATTGAATCAGCAACCGTCGGCCGCTGGACAAGCGGCGTATGTAGCTAAGAATATATTGGCTCAAGCGGCGGCGCAATCTGCGGCGACAGCCGCTGCAGCTTTGGCTGGCAAACAAATTATCGTGATGGGTCTTGAACAACAGTCGAGGGACGCGTATGTTGCTGTGGATGGTGAAAAACAGCAGTTACAACAAGCTCAGCGTGCAGCTGTAGCCGCGAAAAATGCAGCTCAACAGGCAATGCACCAAGTACAAGTGATCACCACGGCGTTAAACGCGGCGCAGGCAACTGCCGAGCATGCTGCGCAAGCGGCAGCCGAGACAGCGGCCGAACTAGCAGCGCAGACAACGATGGTTGGTCAGGCAAAAGCACGTGCCGAGGCTATCGCAGAACAACTTGCAGCGGCACGCTTGGACTTCGAAACAACGCAAGCAGCGGCACAAAAAGCTGCCAACGCCGCTCAAACTGCGCAAAACAATGCTGCAACCGCGGCTGCGCATGCGGCCAACACTGCGGCTGCGACTACGGCTGCGTCTCATCATCCGGCTTCTTTGCACACCACCGCCGCCGCCACTGAACTGCTCGGCTTGACAGAAACCTTACCCGTAGATGTCTACAATTATAAAACTTATCATCTTTAAAAAATAGTTATGTTTTTACTCTTTGTAAATGCACACCCTTGCTTAGCAATATAATGGCTTTTACAAGCCATCTTCTTTTTTTTCCTATTTCGCGAAATTCAGCTAACGTGCCAGATTGCACAATAAAATATAGTTGCCATCTTGAATAGTGTATTATCTATTATTCTCTTCTTTCACATATAGACGACTTAGGGCTATTTTTTCCAATGTCTGTTAACTCTAACCAATGGTTAGAAGATTGCCAATATGAAGAATGAAACATTGCAACGGAAAGAGAAAATTTCTTTCATAACGTAAATATCATATATATATAATATAATGTTAGTATTGTAAATATCTTTTTTTACTGTTAACTTTTATACACTTTTTATCAATATACTAAAAGATTAGGTTAGAATCGACGACATATACAAGTTTCGAAGTTGGCTGTTCTAAAAAGTTACTGGTCGGTTAGAGTTAACAGATATTGGGAGAAGTGGCCTTTATAGTAACATAGATACCTAAACAATACGCAAGTTTTAAAGACATCTGAAAGAAGATCTTCAAAAGACGTCATTTTTTTCTGACGTTTTTTGGACGTCTTTCAGATGTTTTTAAGACTTGCATGTTGTCTGAGCGATAATCATCATCACACACCACGAGTAAGTCCCAGTTGCGCACAGAATAATTTTGACACAGTAGATTGAATGCATCGGACACAGGTCCAATCGGACATGATAAGAAACGGACATACGGTGTTTGGAAGCGGACACAGTGACAATTGGACACAGTTGCAATCGGATACGTTGAAAATTGGACACAATAGAAAACGGACACACCGTGGTTGCAATCGGACATATGCTTCGTGAGTTTTCCTAACCTTAAAAACGTTACTAATGATTTGTTGCTTTTTTGCTTTTTTCTATAATAATTCTGTGTACAAAAGTGCACAAAATCTTCTCTGTTTTAAGACTCTGTTAAAAGTAAATAAAAATAATTGATATAATCAAATCATGTTTTTGATTCATAAATATTTATCCTGATATGTTTGATAAAATTGCCTATATAAGTTTATCGTAAGCTATTTCAATGAGATCGATTGATAAAGAAAAATTGTCTACTTTTTCGTCTTTAATCATATCTTAAAAATTATTAACAAAAGAAGTTTACCGAATAAACTGTGTAATTATAGACTTTGTTTTGCATCGAAAGCACCGGGCGATGCACAGTGGGCTAGGAGATCAGAAAAACTGGCCAAAAGTCACTTACAGTATTGAAAGAAAAAGTGTATGCCATCATCATTGAGTCATGTTAATGTACATGTGAGCCCATTTTATGCGTATTGATCAATTATTGTTTTGTTGGTGCAAGTTCGAATTTAAAAATATGAATGCTATACCAGTAGTAGCGTTTACTTTGTTTGTGTTAGTTAACAGTTTAAAATATTTTTATAAGCATTTTTAATTTTATTTTATGTCTGTATAGAAACATTAAGACAACAGAAGACTTAAAAAGTTAAAAAATATGCTCAAATTTTTATAAAATAAGGTGCTTAAGTCGAGTATTTTGATATTTTTTATGATGTCGACTTCCACTGATTCAATGTCTCAAAATGTTCCGCGGCCAATCAAAACTTTTTTTGTGTCATTAAATAATTTATACTGTGTACTTCAAGAAATATCTGCACATTTTTGCTCAAATTCATATTTTGTGGAGAAAATCGCGTTTAAAGCCGCGCGTAGCGCTTCACGGCGCGGCGCGACGCGACCGCTCGCCATGTATCAGCATAGAAATGCAAATCATATATTGTTACGTCCCGGCAAGTCTTTGTTATAAAAACTAAACTTAGGGAACACGATTACTTTCGGGTAATCGGGCTTGTGGGACCCTACCCTGGGTACGCACAATCTAATCAGTTGTCTAGGAAAAACCGGAAAAGTAAAAGCCTGTATCGATTAGGGGAATATTCGATGTAATTTAATATATGCTAACACTAATTCGCGGGTCGATGCGGGGTCGCGGACGTCGTGATTTTGTTAATTATTTAATTTTGTACTTACCAATATTCAGGCGTTCTGGTTTTTTGAGATGTAATTGGTCCTCCTCGGGTCCCCTAACGGTATCCGTGCCGGGTTGATTGAGAAAGGAATGCTGTCTAACGGGATCAGCGTAAAGGGCCACGACCGGTGGGGGTTGAATCCTTCACGTCGAGAGAACTGGTCAGAGTCGTTGCACACACTTTCGTACTCGGAGTCGTAATATTTTTCCACGCCGATATATTGAAAATGTTCCGCAGTAGCCGGTCTGGTGTATTGAAGGAGCAACTGGCGCGCGCGATATTTTACTCCTCCGCGACGCGTCTTAGATTTTGGCATGAGAAGAAGATTGTGTCAATTCAAAAATTCCAGGCGTAAAGCGTGCGGTGGGCCGCACCATGATTCGCGAGGATACAGAAATTAATACAACGTGCGGTGGTCCGCACCGGAGTTATTAAATCTGAGTGCTGATTCGTAGTGACACTAGGATGGATATAGAGGTAGGTTAAAGACGCAAAGATAATTGAGCTGAGATGTTAATTTAACAAACACTTTACTATAAATTTAAAGTACAAATTCTGTTAATAATCTACACGTTACACTTTTATTAACTTACGCTTGCGAATACTTTTACTAAGTTACGTTTACAAATGTTAAATGATTCTAAGTTTATAACTTACGCTTGCGAATACTTTTACTAAGTTACGTTTACAAATGTTAAATGATTCTAAGTTCGATATAGAGATAGAGTCGGATTCAGAGATGTTGGTCGTGTCGAGACCGGAGTAGAACTGAACTTACTTGGCTAGCGTGGGTTCTTTTATACCCAAAGATTTTATTACTTTTATCGCAAAAACAGGGTTTTGGAATTTTGGGTTTGAAGGGTCTTACGGATAGGTTTAAAAAAAAAAGGGTTGGAAAAAGTTGGATGGTTTTATGGCGGGTCCGTACGTGCCTCGGGGACCGAGCACGTTTGAGAGTTTTATGGTGGATCACGTACGTGCTTCCGAGACAGTGTACGTTCGAGAATTTTCCAGAATGTTCGAGAACGTTCTGGAAATGGAATTTTTTGGAAGGTTCGGGAAGGTTCGAGAACATTCTTGTAAAAAGAACGTTTGAAAAAATTTAACTATAACGGTCGGAGGACGTTACACCTCCCTCCCCAGGAAGAAAATGATGAACGTTAGTTCCAGCATTTTCTATGAGGATTATGGGTCTAATTCTAACGCTGGTTATTTTTAGTGTTGGTTGTTCGGTTTCTTATTTCTAACGCTTGATTTAAGGAGTTGAGTTATCTGTCGCAATGTTAGGAGATCAAATTATTTATTTGTTTTATCTTATTCTATTGTTTATTTTCTAGCGTTTACTTATTTTCTGACGCAGTTTTGGACAGTCGAGATGTCGGACCCTATTTTCTTATAACTTATTCTAATTATTCTAACGCCGACTTAATTCTGACGCTGAAAATTATTTTATAAAATTGTTTTTTACATAAAACTTTATTCTAACGCTGAAAATTATTATATGAAATTGTTTGACATAGGACTTATTTTAACGCCAATTTAATTCTAACGCTAAAAATTATTTTATAAAATTGTTTTGACATGGGACTTATTCTAACGCCAACTTAATTTTAACGCTGAAATTGTTTTTACATAAGACTTATTTTAACGCCAACTTAATTTTAACATTAAAAATTATTTTATGAAATTGTTTTGACATGGGACTTATTCTAACGCCAACTTAATTCTAACGCTGAAAGTTTTTTGAATGTCTTTTTAGTTCACATAGTAGAAGGACACTCGTCGCTGTTTTATTAGAGCGGCAAGGTTCACTCACTAGATTGAGTCTGAGACGATATCTTTGGGTGATGTTAAAGGTATTTCCCCGGTTATTTGGTCTCCATTGGCGCTGCAGTTTGGCCCTCGGATTTTCCTCTTTCCTATCTGTAGTAGCAGATGGGTGATAGAGCTCCAAATTGCTCCTAAGAGATGGAGGCTCCATCCATAGACAGAGTGTAGAGCGTAGTCTCGTATTATTGAGTCTACTACTAGCTTAGCCAATCTCACCAACAGAATAATGGCAAGGACTCCTGCACTCGCTGAGCCGAAGGTTATGAATCCTTGCCAGAGCTTCAATCCGGTGTCTTCTGCGATTTTATTTAAAGAGTCTTCGTCCATCAGATTATATAACGAGACACTTTCTCGGGGAATGGGTCTTCCCATTGCACCTTGAGCTAAAATGTCCAACATCGAGGGTTTCTCGATAGGAAACATGATGTGATTTCGTAACCGCTCGAGATCCTTTGTTGAGTATATTCCATTGGTGGCCAGGTTTGCAGGACTGACGTACTTCCATCTTGGCTTGGTCAGTGGTTGGATGATGGATGGAGGCATCGCTTCGGCGGCCTTGGGTAAGAATTTGAACCAAGTCCCGTCGATTTGATACATACTCGGGAGCATCTCGTTGCACTCTCTAGTGGTTCCGCTGTTGGTCAACACCCTGGATCGTGGTAAGAGGAAATATGATGTGTTGCCGTGAGCCACGGGTAATTCAGTGTAGCATTTTTTAGTTTGGCGTATCTTACAGTTGATTGGGACACATTTAATAATATAGATGACTTCTCCTGCGGTTAAAGCTGTATACCCCGGTTTCCGTATTAATCAGTAAGCCATCTCATCTGGCGAGATGCTCGAAAGGGAGAGTGCATTTTCTAAAATTTGCCTTTCTAAAACACATTTCTGATTCATTATATCTCTGTATAGCTGGGTGAGCTGAGTATTTTGGTGCTTCTCGACGTATATGAATTTGGAATTTACGTATGAAAATATGTCGATATTGTCTACAGAGATTTTGGTCGCGGCTTTGAAGGTTCTTCCCTTTTTGGTCTCCAGGATGAGTAGTTTAGGATGTTCCGTTTGCATAACTTTGTACCCACAGATGTTGATGTCTGAAGTCCCAGCCAAGGCGAAGGTGGTATCCTTGGTGGTCACCGTATAAATGGTAGGTGAATTAGTTTGCGTGAGTTTGTACGCGAGCCCTTCATATAAGACGTCGTATTTTTGAGTCTGACAATTGTCTTTGGGTACGGTGGTCCAAAAGGTGGCCATGCCGTCAGCGTCGGTGCA